ACACGCAAAGCCGAAAATGAGTTTTCATGTCACACAAAATGTCCCTAAAAAGTCTTGCTCGATAAAAGCAGACAGAGCAGACTTTCTTTCTCACGAGCTGTTCATTGTTTAAAGTCCTACTAGCAACGTGAGGCCGGGGTTAATAAAATAATTTAAATCCAATAAAAAGCTAAATCCGATGTTATGCAGAATCCTTTCGCAGAGATTATATAACATCTGACTTTTACAGAGAAATTGAGGACTTATCCTTTAAGAGAGAAAAAATTGCCATTGTGCATAAAGTATTCGTACTGTAGCAGTGGAAGCAGTACTAGTACAATTATGATGCAGTAAGAGCAGTATTCTTGTAGTAGTGACTGTAAAATGAGTTGCACTTAAAGCACTCGACCAACACTCAACACAAGATTCAAAATATAAAATCCCCAATTAATCCCAGAGCACTGGATCCTACACGTCCAGTGATTTCATTTGAATGGTATTTTTACCCTCGAGCCTCCAGACTGGAGATATAGTTAAAACTCAACACCCCCCGTTTGTAAGGTTTTGAGTCTCCAAGTTAAAACTGAGATTACCCTGATGACATCATGGTTTTGTGTTTTTTTGACAAAGCTGCTCCAGAGCAGATTTACATCTGATTTCACCGGCTGAGTCCTCATGAGTCTGGAACTATCTTATTGTTAGTTCTGAAGGTAAAGTAGTGGTGGTAGTACTAGAAATACTCCCATCAACACCTGAATGGGTTTATTTTTCAGCTTACCGTTTGTGTCGGCAGTTTGTTCGGTTGTTTCGCTTTTCTTGTTCACTTCATCGTACACAGTTTCCTCCTCCTCCTTAGCTGAAAGGTAAAAGGAGACAATCTCACAGTTGATTACTGCGTCGCTGTCAAATGACTTTTATACCCCAGATGAATGCGGTTCATAAATGAATAAAGCCTCTGTGTGAACCTTCAGCACACAGAGAGGAATGAACGTGTAAAGTTTGGTGAATGTAAGAGCTGCTGAAGTGGAGATTTATCATCAGAGTCTGAGAACAAACTCATTTTAAAGATTTGTTTCGTTAAATTAGAAACATGTGTATATTTTGGATGTTTTCTTTCCTTTAGTCTGAAGAAGAAATGTTATGGAAGCAAAGTCAAACACAACTGAACCATGAAACACATGTTTTTACTGTAGCGTCTCTCCTGAAAAGCTTATTCCGTTATTTAAAATCAACCAAAACGTTTTTGTCTGATTGTGATCGGTTTCATCCTTAAATTCTATTAGAAAAACGTGATTTATTCGTCATTGGTCATTCCATGTTTTGCATTAAAAACAGATAAAAGTCAATAAATGAAAATGTCTGACAGTCAGCTGATCACAGATGAAAGTGGAAACTCTTGCCCTTTATGGAGAAACAATGAACTAATAACGGGAAGTATTAAACAAAAGAGCAACATGAGTTTAGCAAATGATAACTGAAGTGAAACATTATGGAAATATGGAGATGTTTGTGGAATTGTTGTTAAAGGGAAAGTAGATCTCTAAAAAGCAGAGAACACGTCAGGTCAACATTGTGCATCTATATTTCAACTTTATGGTTTTTTGGGGTTATTTGAAGTGAGCAGGTCACCATAATCAACATCGGGATATTTAAAAACATCGATGCATAAAGTGCTGAGTTAGCTCGACAGCTAATCTGCTCACGTGTACAAAAACTCATTCTCTCTGGATTCAAACTTTGTTTTTGTCCAAATATTAAACGATGAGCAGATTCTTTTCCTGTTGCACAGAACACATTTCATTGACAGTGCATTGTAAATGTTAACCTTACTTGGAAGACATCAACACACGGTCACGTAAACAAAGACAGGGTGTCGTAGCAGCAGCCCGATACCTTTAGATCTGCTGTGATTAAAACAGGTAAACTGACCTTCAGGTGGAGGTTGCTTGTTGGATTTGAACACCACCGAGGCGTAGTTGACCTCCGCCTCCGGCATCGCTGCAGCCGCTCTGATGAGCTCTGACTGACTCACAGACAGAGAAGCGTGGCTGGTATCAACAACAGGGCATCCTAATAGGAGAACCAGTTGTTTCCTCTTTCCAGCTCAGTCTATCAACACCAAACCTCCAAGTAAGCAACTTCTGCTTTTTGGTTGAGAAAGCGATTTGCATCCATCGGTGGGAAATTCAAAGCCAAGCACAGAGTGTTATGGAAATACATCCTCTCATGAAAGGCCGTATGATGAGCAGTGTGCTAGCAGTTAACTGTGGAGCTGTGACGTACGCTTGGTGTGAGAAAACGCTTTTGCTGACCCAACAATAACTACATGAAAATCACCCACATTGGAGAGAGAGCGGTTTTCTCCCTTGAATTATGAAATGTTTCTGTTTGGCAACTGGTGTCTGCATCTTTATAAACCACACACACACATTCTCACACATTAACTGTGTATATCTTGAACTCACCATTGCTCATATGAATCATGAGTCATTAGAAAGGAGACACTACAGGTACGTACGGTAAAGAACAAAGCAGATATCTAATAGATATCACGATGAAACTTACCCAGTTCATTACTTACATTCAGACAAGTTCCTTCTTTATTACAAGTTCTCTGAAAATATATGTTTAAGATATGGAAACGATGCATTATCTCGACTAATTTGTGCTTATTTGTTCTACATTTGGTTGGTAACATCAAGCCAGGTTCAAAATTCTTGTTTCATATTGTTGACATATTAGAGTCAAAGGTTTTTACAGAGGGAACCTATGATATCTCTTTATATAATCTTTATATAATCTTTATATATAAATTACTGTCAAGAGCCATGAAACAAATCCATTCTCACCATGTTTATATCAATAAATGTATAAATGAGTGTGTGAATGATGAGTGAACACACCCCTCTGTGTGAACCTTCAGCCCACAGAGAGGAATGAACGAGTGAAGTTTAGTGAATGTAAGAGCTGCTGAAGTGGAGATTTATCATCAGAGTCTGAGAACAAACTCATTGAGAGGAAACGTCCTTTAAAGAGACGTTTAGTTCCATTACAGACTCTACAGGGGAATATTCACCACTTCATCACTCACATTAAGAGGAGTATTTATTGTGTAACAACTTTTCTGAAATGTGGTGTTTAAATATGCAAATGAGGCATTATGTAATGGTAACTTTAGGAGAATCTACAGACACAAACAGACAAAGTTTGGATGTTTTTTTTCCCTCTAGTCTGCAAGAAAACTTGTTATTGGAAGAAAATAGACCAAAATCTCAGATTAGACCAGAGCATGAAAAATGACATTTTGCCTGAAGTTTGTCACAGTCCAATATGTGTGTAACATACGTCTGCTTCGTTCATTCAAGGTTTACATTCAGCACAGTTGGTCTCTGGATCAGCTCTGTTTGATCATCTTGACTTTGATCTTTCCTTCTTCTTTTATCTTCTACACTGAGAGCAGTTGGTGAGACTTTGCTGATTAGATCTTGAACCAAAAGGAACCAGAAATTAGTGGAAGAAGATCCTCCGTCCTTGTCGAGGGCGAGACATCTTGGCAACTACTGGGCTCAATGATATAAAATGGGTGTTGATGGTGTGAAGGTGAGGATTCTTAATCCCTGGTGACTGTGTTACCTCCACAGCACTACTTACAGGTCAAAATGTCACGAGAAAATACACCCTTCTTCTTTTTCTGACCTTTCCTTTGTTACCTGTAAATACCTGCCACTGCACAGGATGTGCTCTCTGTTACAAATACACATTTTTAAGGTCTCTTCATCAATAAACCTCCGTTGAAAGAGGAAATAAAATATCCAAAAGCACTTTCAGGGCTTGGTATGCTACTCTTCCTACTTGCTCGTTTCTATACCTGATTTATCACATTCCTCGATGTGGGTGCTGCTGACCATCTCTGAAAATGTGACGTATAGTACGAGTAACCCTGGAGCAGATTAACATCAGGGGAGATCTAGTCTCTAGACACATACATACACATTTTATGTTTTATATTGTAATTGTTTTGTAAATAACAAACAAAAGAAGTGTTCGTATTATCTATTCTTACCAGAGTATGTAACTAAAGAAAAAGCAGAACTTGACGACAGCTTTGATATTGCTCGTCTGTGCAGCGTCTTTGTCACAACAGGACATATTCAGATGTTGTGATATTACTTGTTATTTAGAGAGCACGACTTCCTCAAAGGCACTTAGCAGTTAGCAGTGTCATCATGTAGTAATGGCAGGATGCTGCAGTGTTGAGAGACGCCCACTAGATGGAGACGGGTAGGTCGAGCTTACAGTGCAAAGCCTATGACATATATGAAATGTCTTTGCTTCAAGCTGAACTTTTCATTTCACATGATTTGAATGAATCTTTATTTGCTGGTGTTTTAGTTGCATTTGATTGGAAGACCAGATCATTTGTTCCAATTGCATTGTATTAATTTGAACCATTTACATAACATCACCCTGTGCTACTTCATTTCTCTGCATCCAGACGTTATTCTCAGCAAGAGGATGTTGAAAATGTTTGTTGGTTACTTTTCTAACTAGATGGTTAGTTTCACGTGTCCTTTTTCATTTCCCTCAGGTTACTATAAAGTCTTTTTAATGTAATGTCATTTTTAAAGGTATTTAAGGACATTTTGGCCTCTTTGTGATCATGACACTAACCACATAAAAGATAAACAGAGACAAGTGATGACATGCATCAAAGGTTCCTGGGGTGCAGACTGGTTTAGTTGTGATTGCTCATCGTAACCCTCTAGGTTTCTTTCTATTCGAGTCTGAGGTTTTTCCTCAGCTGGAAAAAGTTCCAGTGGTGAAAGAGTTAACGTTGGAGATTACATCACTGCCTCTCTCTGCCCTTTTCCCTTCTCTTCCAGCCCTCCTACTCCCGCCCCTTTCCTTTCCTCTGTCCCTCTCCATCCTTCCTCATCTCCTCTCCCCTCCCTTCTCCTGCAGTCTCCTCCCTTTTCCATCCGTCCTCCCCCCTTGTCCGTGTGCCCCGGCCCCTCCGGTAT